ACAAAATTAGCCAGGCGTGGTGGCGCATGCCTGTAATCCCAGCTACTCAGGAGGCTGAGGCAGGAGAATCTGGGAGGCAGAGGTTGCAGTGTGCCGGATCGTGCCATTGCACTCCAGCCTGGGCAACAAGAGTGAAACTCCATCTCCAAAAAAAAAAAGAAAAAGAGCTTAAAGACTACACAAATAAAGGCATAATACAAGTCTTTGGGTGGCTTTACAGGTAATTTTATTTCTTCAAATTTTTCTATTTTATCCAAATTTTCAATGACAATGTAATTTTTATAACGGGGGGAAAAACCGAACTAAGATACGATAAAAAATCTTTTCAAACAACTTTCTTGGTGGGCCTGGACATGCTGTGAAATGTATTTTCTTCCCTTTTCCTAAATCAGACATAAGAAATAGGCAGAGAACCAAAGGCGGTGCGGGCCAGGGGCCTAGGGGCCTCATCTTGGATCTCAGCAGCGCAGCTCTCTGAGTAAACAGCAGCCTGAGTTCTCAGTGAGGGCTCTGCACCCAGGGCACTAACTCTTCTCGAGATCCACGGACAGGAGTGCTGACACTGGCTTGAAGGAGGCTCAAGTCTAGAGCACACTTCACAGGGCAGGGCAGCCACCTCTCCTCCCCACGGGAAGGACCATGGCCAGGAGTACAAGGCACGGGTGCAGGAGGTTGGCCTTTTTCTCCCTGACTGTAGGCACATGGACCATGAAGCCTTTCCACTGCAGTGATTCCTAACCTTCAAGGAATTAAAGGCATTAGTATTAGTACATCATCCCATCACCTCTCAAAATGAAATGGTGACTATTTTTTCAATTAAATGGTTTTTGAAAATCCTAATTTGCATTTTAAAAGAGCTATGTGTGTATGTAAAAATAATACACATACACACACCCCCATATACATATGCAGAAACACATCTGTAACATAACAGAAGTAACTAGCAATGGTGGTTCCTGAGGAGGAGACCTCACAGGAGAAAAACCAGGATGAGTCTGACTTCCCTCTGAATACCTTCTTCAGACACTTCCGATACATTTTCCAAAAACATGAATTTAAGATAATTCCTTTAAACAGTCCATTGGACCAAAAGAAAAATTCAGAGATCTCTTGAGACCCAAATTAGGAATCACTTATCTAAAACCAAAAAGTGGTATTGCGGAGCCTTCTGCAAGCCAAAATGTACAATCTCCCATTCTTGGCTTTTAAATAACCTTTTTTTTTTTGAGACGGAGTTTCGCTCTTGTTGCCCAGGCTGGAGCGCAATGGCGCGATCTTGGCTCACTGCAACCTCCGCCTCCGAGGTTCAAGCAATTCTCCTGCCTCAGCCTTCCAGGTAGCTGGGTTTACAGGCATGTGCCACCACATTCGGCTAATTTTGTATTTTTAGTAGAGAGAGGGTTTCTCCATGTTGGTCAGGCAGGTCTCGAACTCTCGACCTCAGGTGATCTGTCTGCCTGGGCCTCCCAAAGTGCTGGGATTATAGGCATGAGCCACCATGCCCGGCCCTTAAATAAATTTTTAAAACAAGAAGCAATTTTTCCAAGCCTGAGCTGGTTGCAATTCACATCTTTTCACAGAACACAGATGTGCTCCTTCAAATGGCCATGCACTGCACCTACAAATTGAACATCCAAAATGATGTCTATCTCCCAACACGTCAGAATGATAACTCTGGAAAATATTCTTTTGATGTTACACCCATGGTGTAACAGAGGCTCTGTAGATCCAGAGACATCCTGGACATTCTCTGACATTCTGACTGTAGAAATATGCCACCATGAATTTAAAATTGCCAAAGCCACAATAATTGGCCATCTTTTTCATTCTTTCCCACATACTTGGGGAATTCAGTCAATTCCCTTATATAAGGTGGCAAAAAAATAAAAAACTTTTATTACCTTTTCTAAGTATAACTATCATCTGAAATGTATTTTCATTGCAGAAGGCTGTTTTTTTTTATTTGCATCCTTACCTCGAATCAGGTGTTAAGCCTACAGAGACATATATACATTAACCATTCTGCTTACCACTGGGATAACATGGGTGACTCCATCTCCGCTGTCAATGACTATCCCCGTTAACGTACGTTCGCCCACTTGTCGAGATGTCCAAGATGCCGCCAAGGCCAGCACTGCCTGGAGAAAAGACATGGAAACCACTCGCACATGGGAACTCTTTCTAAAGCATCTGTGGGCCTTTCCAGGTCCAATCAACAAACTCTCTTACTAAATATGTCTGAGTAACTCTTTCCTTTTCCTATCCATCCTCTGACCCCTGTCCCTCAAATTCCAATTCAGACTTGGACAACTAACACGAAAATGTTGAGACTTAAAACTATAGGAGTCAAGTTTTCGATAAAGAAACCTGGCTGAATGTGGTGGCTCATGCCTGTAATCCCAACACTTTGGGAGGCCAAGGTGGGCAGATCACTTGAGCCCAAGAGTTCAAGACCAGCTTGGGCAACATGGTGAAACCCCATCTCTACAAGTAACACAAAAATTAGCCAGGTGTGGTGGCACGCACCTGTACTCCCAGCTACTTGGGAGGCTGAGGTGTGAAGATCCCTTCAGCCCAGAAAGTTGCAGCTAGAGTGAGCCATAATTGCACCACTGCACTCCAGCCTGGACAACACAGTGAGACCTTGTCTCAAAAATGAAAGAGAAAAGAAAAGAAAAGAAAAGAAACCTAAAGTTTTGCAAAGAAAAGCCAGTGAAAAAGATATTTCATTATAGAATCGTAAGATTTTAATTTCTAATTCATTGGTTTCCAGTGTGGGGCCACAGATTGGCAATGAGGTCACTTGTGGAGTTGTTTAAAATACAGACTACTAGGCCTCACACCCAGGAATTCTAAACTGGAAGGTACAGGGTAATTTTTCAACCAAAGAAAATGTTGCCCCAAAGGGAACATCTGGCAATGTCTGGTACCATTTTCTTTGTTGGGGTGGGGAGGCTTGAGGTGGGGCTGCTGTCTTCTAGTGGACAGAGGCCAGGGATGCTGCTAAGTCCCCTGTAATGCACAGTGCAGCGCCCACAACACAGGACTACCCAGCCCAAAGTACTGAGGGTGGAAAACGCTGCTCAAAAATGAAGCCCAAAATCTGTACTTCTAAAAAACATTCTCCAGGTAAACTTGCTGCACAGACCACTTTGAGAATCACCAGTCTTATGTCTCCTAAAGTGTTTCCCTATCCCATGGAATACAAATAACTTAGCCAGGGGGAAGATCTGTAGTTAAATGAATTTGGAAGTGCTAGAATACATAGATTTCGACACAGGAATCCTCAGAGCCTAGACTGTGCTGACAGGCACTGTGAATCAGCCCGAGAAAGCTGCAGGATGCAGCACCGCCCAAATTCATCTTTCTATGGAACTCTTCCTCCTTCTCCTCCTTAGAAGTGACTAGTAGTAGCAGGAAACATTTGGGCAACACCCATCTCATTTATTCCCCAAAATTTCGGTCAATTCCCTTATATAAGGTGGCAGGCAAATAATGACCAAATGCGACCAAATGCAACCAAAAACCATCATACCCAGAACCGCAGCTCCAGAACAAGTTCTGCGAGCTCATGAAAACACAGGGCCCCTCAGAATCAAGTACACCGGGGCTCATAAGAGCCCAAAATCAGAAAGCGGAAACCTCTAAAGGTATTTATTTTGTTTTTCTGATCAAAGTAAGTCAGAGATGCCAAAAGAAGAGGCACGTCTACACCTGTATCTTGTCACTCAGATAAAAATGCATTAGACTTTAATGCATGTAAAAAGAGCCAGACGACGTCTATACCAAAAAATGGCATAAATATGAAAAGAAAAGTCACAGGACACGTTCCCTGTAGTCCTGAATGGCATGGGGGCGGGGCAGGGAGTGGAAAAAGGAAGGGTGCACAGTGCAGTCTTCCAGCGGAGAACCTTGGGAAATGCCATTGCTTCCACTATTAGACAGCTCACGTGCTTCAGGAATCACAAAAACAACTGCTTTTACCTGAACTGCAATGTAGAGTCCTGGTACGTTAAACGATTCAAACATAATTTCTGCAAGATACTCTCTGTTTTCCGGTGTATTGAGTGGAGGCTCTGTCTGTAAGAAAACATTCACTATATTTAGTATTTGCCCAAATTACATGTAAATACATCAGCACCATAAACAGGTTAACCAGAAAGTATGTTAGCAAGGACATTATACAACTCCCTGATTTTAGAGATAGAAGATGCCCAAAGTGTATTAAAGAAATCTGGCTGTGGGCCTTAAAAGCTTTAAGATGGCAGAGTAAAGACCTCTCTGAAGGCTTCTGTTCTTATTATCCACCCAAAATAAGAACGAGTTACAGAAAAAGAAACTCTGTCTTCAATAACATAACACCTAAACACCATGAAACTGAATATCCCAGAAGCAAGTTGCCAAGGGCTGTGAAAACACAACCAAGACGAGTGAGGACACCAAAGCCAAACCAGTGACTTCAGGTCTCAGCAAAGGAGAGCCAGAGGAGCAGCAAGCCCTTGCTCAGGACAGGCCCAGTGTGAGGAGCCATAGGGTGGCAGAGCAGGCAAGGTTAGGCCAAGCACCCTTACAGTCCAGTGGCAAGGGAAGAGCCCAGGGCAGAGCACAGCTTCCCCCTGACACTGCCCAGGACCTCCCCAGCCTACCCACACGCCATTAGTTCAGAAGAACTCTGCTCATTCAGAGACGAGTAAGGGGCACAAAGAAGCCAGCCAACAGTGATATAAAAACACTCAAAGAAAAAGAAAAGGGACAGAGAAAATAGGAAAAACAAATGGCAGACAAAAAAACGCCTATCTAGGGGCAGGTGGGTAGCTCACATCTATAATCCTAGCACTTTAGGAGGCTGAGGAGGGAGAATCATTTGAGTCCAGGAGTTTAAGACCAGCCTGGGCAAACTGGTCGAGACCCCACCTCTACGAAAAAATTTAAAAGTCAGCCAAGTGTGGTGGCACATGCCTGTGATCCCAGCTATTCGGGGGGCTGAGGTAGGACCACTTGAGCCTCAGAGGTGAAGGCTACAGTGAACCGAGATTGTGCCACTGCACTCCAACCTGGGTGACAGAGCAAGATCCTGTCTCCAAAAAGAAAGAAAAAAAAAAACGTATCTGGAAAAATATTAAAACAAAGCAGATAAAAATTCCCAAGAATTTCCAAAGACATTTCCAAGAATCCAAGTATCTATTTTAAAATAACCATCATCAAACAGGAGGAAATGACAGAAACAGAAACAGAAAAAGAATAAATAAACCTGATTTTTGTCATTCAACAATATACTATGAACATTTTTCCTTGTCAACAAACATGGGTCTACATCTCATATTTAAAACAGAAAAAATAAAAAGTCCCTGGACCTTTGGGCAAAACGTATACATTACCCTTTATTACGAATGAACTGTGCTTCCCACACCTCCAATTCATAGATTAAAGCCCTAACTCCCACTGTACTGTAGTTGGTAACAGGGCCTTTCAAGAGGTCATGGTTACCTGAGGTCATAGGGGTGGGGCCCTAATTTGACAGGACTGGAGGAAGGTCTTCTAAGAAGAGGAAGAGACACCAGAAATCAATCTCTCTCTCCTATTCTCTCCCCACTCTACACTCACACAGGGGAAAGGCCTGTGAGGACACAGCAGGCAAGGGGACCACATATAAGCCAGGAAGAGGGCCGCACCAGGAGCCAACCCCGACAGACCTCGATCTTGGACTTCTAACCTCCAGAACTGTGAGAAAATCACGAACTGTCTGCTGTTTAAGCCACCCAACCTGTGGTATAAACAAAATTACAGCAGCCGAGTAGACTAATACACCCCTATGACAGGGAAAGTACAGTCAGCCTCAGCCTTCAACACTGCTACATTTAACACTAGGACACATGCGGCCACACTTAAGAGTCTTCAAGGGAAGAAGGTACAACCCAAGAATTCTACATCTGGCCACAATGTCAGTCAAGTATGTTACAAAATCAAAATATCTAATATTTGAAACGACTGATATGCTAATTACCCTGATCTGATAGCCACACATTATATGTATCAAAACTTCACTCTGTACCCCATAAATATGCACAATTATTATGTGTCAATTAAAAAAATAAAACAATAAAATAAAATACTAAGGAGAAAAAATATATATCCTTAAACATGTAAGAACTTGGAAAATTTCATTCCCATGAGCCAAAATGTACGGATTCATGAACTATTAGAGGATAAACTTTATCCAACCAAGAAGAATGCAGAAAGTCCAGCAAAGACTTACAGTGAGCAATGAAGCCATTTAAGATGTAGGAATAAAGACTTTTCTTTGGACAGGCACAGTGGCTCATGCCTGTAATCCCAGCACTCTGGGAGGCCGAGGCGAGCGGATCACCTGAAGTCAAGAGTTTGAGACCAGCCTGGCCAACATGGTGAAACCCCATCTCTACTAAAAATACAAAAATTAGCCGGGCATGGTGGTGCACACCTGTAGTCCCAGTTACTTGGGAGGCCGAGGCAGGAGAATTGCTTGAACCTGGGAAGCAGAGGTTACAGTGAGCTGAGATTGCACCACTGAATTCCCGCCTAGGCAATGGAGTAAGACTCTGTCTCAAAAAAAAGACTTTTATTTTCTGGGAATTAAGAACAGAATGTAAATGTTATAAATTTTAACAGAAAAAATGGTATCAAGTTGAGCAGTGTACAAAGAAAGAAGGAGAGAGTGTAAAGACATTTGCCTCTTACAGTGAGATCAAAAGATATTATTTAAAACCGATAAAGAATCACAGGCATTAGTAAACATAAAGTTATAAATGTTAACATTGGAATAAGTTTAGTAACATCATTAATCAAAAGCAGGTGGTGGAGAGAAGGAAGGGGAGGCAAGAACATGTGGCAATACCAACCTGGTCACTGATTACAGCAGGAAGGAGATAGTTACCCCTAAACAAATACAGGGTAAATATATCAAATTATACTAAAATATGCAAAAATGAGTCCTTTTAATTATTACTAAGAACACACACCTAATACAAAGCAAAGAGAAAAATAAGTCTTCAGTTAATACTAATACACAAATAAAACACATTAAAAACATGAAGCATAACATTTTAAAAAATAGTTAAATTAAGACCAAACATATCTGTCACACAGTGGCATGCCACACCAGTCTGATTAAGAGATCTGAGGTCAAACTGACTGCGATCAAATCCCAGACTTCCACTTTACTAGGCTTGGTAAACTATTTCCTCTCTCTCCGAGTCTCCTCATGGGTAAAGTGGAGATAATTAGTACCCCTCTCAGAGAGTTGCAAAGATTAAAGGCAGTCTAAATAATGTGCTTCGAGCAGTATTGGACACACAGATGTGTTCAATGGCAGTGAGTTGCTATTACTAAAATTATCAGCAAATATAAATGGGAAATGCAACTACTAAAAATCTCTCAGTTAAAAACAAAACCAAAATCAAATTACATTCTGAGGTTAAGAGACCCAACTAAAACAAAGTAGCTTTGAAAGGTAAAAAGTCAACACTGTCTGTATCAGAAGATCAGAAACAACCTAAATACCCACCACTAAACACTTTGGAACAATTTTTAAAAATGAACTCTATGAAGAAACAATCTCTATGAGGAATTGCTAAATTAAAAAGAGAAAAGTGTCTTCATTCCATACACATTCTTAAATATCCTTCTGCTTCAACAATTTGTAATGAAAACTTTTTTTTTTTTTTTTTTTTTGAGACAGAGTCTCACTCTGTCACCCAGGCTCCAGTGCAGTAGCCCAATCTCGGATCTCTGGGAGACTCCACCTCCTAGAATTCAAGCAATTCTCCTGCCTCTGCCTCCGGAGTAGTTGGGATTACAGGCACACGCCGCCATACTCAGTTAAATTTTGTATTTTTAGTAGAGACAGGGTTTCATCATGTTGGCCAGGCTGGTCTCAAACTCCTGACCTCAAGTGATCCACCCACTTCAGTCTCCCAAAGTAGTAGGATTACAGGCATAAGCCACCACGCCAGGCCAAAAACTATTTTTAAAAAACAAAGTGTGGTAGCCAGGTGTGTGCCTGTAGTCCCAGCTACTCAGGAGACTGAGGTGGGAGGATCACTCCCGCCCAGGAGTTTGAGGCTGTAGTGGCTGTATGACTGCACCTGTGAATAGCCACTGCACTCTAGCTTGGACAACACAGAGACTTCCTCTCAGAAAAAAAAAAAAAAAAAAAAAAATGAAACAGGCTGAGCACTGCGGCTCACACCTGTAATACCAGCACTTTGAGAGGCAGAGGCAGGTGGATCACCTGAGATCAGGAGTTCAAGACCAGTCCGGCCAACATGGAGAAACCCCATCTCTGCTAAAAATACAAAAATTAGCTGGGCGTGGTGGTACATGCCTGTAATCCCAGCCACTCGGGTGGCAGAGGCAGGAGAATTGCTTAAACCCAGGAGGCAGAGGTTGCAGTGAGCTGAGATGGTGCCACTGTACTCCAGCCTGGGCAACAAGAGTTAATTCCATCTCAAAAACAAAAAACAAGGTGGGGGAAGAAGGGAAATATGGGGAATTGTTCAATGAGCACAGAGTTTCAGTTTTGCAAGACAGAAAAGTTCTAGAATCTCTTATGCAACAGTGTGAATATAGTTAACATTACAGAATTGTACACTTAAAAATGGCTAAGAGGGTACAAATAGTATTAGTTTTTTTTACAATTTAAACCAAAAAAAAAAAAAAGTTTAATTCAAAATCCAAGGTGTACAACAGTATGCATACTGTGTTACCATTTGTGTAAAATAAAACTGTGTACTAGCCAGGTGCAGTGGCTCACACCTGTAATCCCAACACTTCAGGAGGCTGAGGCGGGTGGATCACGAGGTCAGGAGTTCAGACCAGCCTGACCAACATAGTGAAACTCCGTCTCTACTAAAAATACAAAAATTAGCCAGGCGTGATGGCATGTACCTGCAGTCCTAGCTACTCAGGAGGCTTGAGGCAGAGGAACTGCTTGAACCCGGGAGGCAAAGGTTGCGATGAGCTGAGATCGTGCCACTGCACTCCAGCCTGGGCTACAGAGTGAGACTCCATCTCAAAAAAAAAAAAAAAAGTGTGTGCTAACC